TAAAAATATTTTTTGCCATCTTTTCATTAGTTTGGGATAGAAAAGGTCTTACCCCAAAGCCTTGAGCGTATTAAAAGGGCTAACTTTAACCATCAATGGCAGTCATTAATAGAAAAACTGATTAAATTTAATTGCTGGTACTGTTCAATGGTAAAGTCTTTTGTTTGAATTAGAAATTTGAATTTCTGAGCAATTGGCAATACCAAAATTTTTCATTACAGAAGTAACAATTTACAGGCTCCTACATTCTTGTTAGCTATCCTGCCTATATCATCTTATTTATGCAAAACCCATGTTACAGTACTGAAATATTTTTGTCCATTCCTTGAATATCTTAAATGTCAATGTTATTTACCTCACATCTTTTTCCTGCTTTATATGCTTTATTATTCTTTAAAATCTTTTCTCACCTTACGTTTTGCCCCTACATGTGCCATTCTTATCCTTTCCATTACTTTAATTTAATTAGAGAATCATTTTGTTTGGAAAAGATCATAAAGATCATCAAGTTCATCAATTAACACTACCAAGTCCACCACTATGTGGACTTGTATTATGTCCAGGCATTATGTATGGTCTTTACTTATTCTGAATATCCTGTAAATCCTGAGGTGCACTGTACTGCCCTAGAAATGTACTATTTTTTCCTTTATAAATTTCTGGTAGATTTTACACCTCTGACATGGAGATATTCCAAAATTCTTTAATTTCTAGTCTCAAATGTTATTTACATTTTCTTTAATAGCTTCTTGCTATTTAATAACTAGTTCAATTGTTATATACTAAGATTTTTTTTTTTCTATAATGCTGCAATTATTCACCAAAACAAGACTATAGTAGCATTATTTCTTCTTGGTTCAGTCAGTACTGGATAAATAATCTGCTAATTATCACAGCCGGAAAAAGGTAATTAGTGGTATTTACTACCCAAACTATGAGCTGCTAAATTCTCTCATAAATAACACTGTCCTGTAATATTTATCTAAAATTAGTAAGGTCTTTCTCAGAATCCAAATTTATCATGGCCATCAGCAACCTTTAGTTCAACTTCCAGTATATTTAATCGCCCTTTTCAGAAATTACAGAATCACTTTAAGTGGAATTCAAAGAATGCTTTTCAGAATGCTTTACCAAAAGTCTGTTTTTGTATTTCTCAATATCATCATCATGCTATGACTATTTTAGCTTTATGTTGTCTTTCCAATGCAGATCATGCTTTGTCTAGGCATGCTTGCTAAATTAATCCTACCTGGTCATCAATCTAGACAAAGGCCTTTTCTGTTTTCTTGCAATTACACTTTTACACTTTTGTATTTCTTTCTATGTTGCTATAGTTCTGTTTCCCAGTTTTCCTCTTCCAGTTAATTAAAACCACACATAGAAATTGCATGTGCTTCCCCTAATTCTGAAAGCTTGTCTTAGCAGTCTTGGCCACAGTAGCCTCTTTATTTAAGTATTAATCAAGAAAAATCTCCAAAGAATGTTTAAATGGTAGGACAATCAGTGTATAATGCTACTTTTGTTCCCTGTTTATTTCTAATACCTTTTGCCTTTATTCTCTGTGGATCCAAATTGTCTGTGCCTACAATGAAGTTCAGTACTTCGTTTCAGTATGTTCTAGCACAAATCTAGTGCTTTTGTTTTTCTGGCAGAAAGTACAGTCAGAGGGTTTCTCCCTGCAGCATCAGGCCTGTATATTGTAACCTTTCTTCTGATGAGTAGCCTAACTTGTTGTGTTGTGTTATCAAGTGTTCACTTATTGAAGGCTCAGCCTTGTCTTTCCTTGGTGTTGGAATGTGTCTACTCTGTCCTTCCATCCTGTCCTCTTATAATTGTGCATTTTTTTTTCCCCTTTCCTGCATCCTCTGTCATCCTCATTCCCTCTTTTTCTTCACTAAAATATCTGACCTCTCTCCTTGATAGGAAATATCATTCTTATCTCCTTGATTGTTTGCTTGCTTTCATTTCTAAGGTCTCCAGAAGAGAATCACTGCTTCATTTTTTTCCACTATATTAAACTGTCATTTTCAGAGGATCATATTTTATTTTATTTTATCTTTATTTATTTATTTTTTTCCCTTCCTGCTAAAACCCAGGAATTTTTGTGTGACCTCCTTCAGCAGACTCTAATTTTTTTTTTTTTTTTTTTTTTTTTTCCTTTGCTTCTCTGTTCTGTTTTCTACTCCTGCATTACATTCATCTACATCTTTAGCTACTGGATAGTCTCTCCCATGAGGTGTACAGAGGTGATGTTTCCTAAAAGGTCAAAAAGTGAATGAAGGGGAAGAAAAGTTTTAAAGCATCTATAACCAGCCACAGTTTTTTGCCTTCACCTTTGACTTATCACTCGCATTGCTATGATGTAACCGTTGGTATCATATGGTCTCCAAAGTATCTCACTTCAAGATAAAGTGATTATCCCCTCCAAGTACTTGTGAAAAAAACTCACTGTTTTGCTCTCGTTTGCTGTGTTTCTTTATTCACTGGTGGATGTTTTTTTAAGGTTTTTCCCTCCATTACAGAACCTGCCAGGTCAGTCAGTTGTGCTTACACAGGGGAACATCTTACTTGATACCATCCACAAGGTTGCCTACCTAGACACAAATCAGAGCCACCACAAACAGGCTCTGACAATATGCAGTAGGTGATAATTTGCAGGTAGATATACAAGATATACAATATAGGCAATATACAGTCACAGTCATACAGAAAAGATAGATGCATGCATTTTTAATAAATTACATTTCTTCCTTGTCCAGAACCTGTCCTGTGCAGTCTTTTTTTTTTCTTTTTTTTTTTTTTTGTTTTTCCTTTTTTTTTTTTTCTTTTTTCCTCTCGTGTTGAGCAGAAGCAACAGAATGTAGACAGACACTTCCTTAGAAAAATTTGTTATGCCACTAAACTGCTCTATATCCATCTGGAGGTACCTTTTATATATGATATAAAGTTTCCTTAACTTTTAATAATTTTGTCCTAGACTTTTATTCTATATGTTTACAGATCAGTGAATTGAGTATGTGATGAAAAGCAAGTAAGCTAAGGGTTTTCTGGCTCAGCCCTAGGATCATAACATATTGTACTGTCAATCTTTATTTAATACCTCCTTTTCAATAGAAATCCTTGAGAAAATGTGCTCACAGTTGTTTGACTTTTGGATTGTGAAAATCAATGCCTCTTTCAAAACCAGTTTATTTATTTATTTATGTTTCATAGCAAACTAAGACGTCTATTGTCTTCTTTCTCCATGTTGCCTGGAACTTAACTGTCATAAACTGTTTCATTGCTTCTTTATATATTCAGTATATCACCTAGTGTTAGTCCAGGAAAAAAACAAAACAAAAAAAATCTTTTTTATATATTAATTTTGAACTGTGCTGTCATAGTATACCATGTTTTTTTCCTCAAATATAAGTCTAAGAATGTAGCCCACAGAGTTCTTCCAAAGAAAAGACTAATGTATGGACACATACACAGATTGAATTAGGTAAGCTATGAACAGTAGGTATGTGTCAACAGTTGCATTGTAACAAGATCTTTTTTTTTTTCTAGATGTATTCTCTAGTAGCATAGGAAGAAAGTTAATTTTAATAATTCTGTTCAGGTCATTTGCAAAGTTTGTAATTAAAAAAAAATATTTGAAATATTGATATTGCTCATTATTCCATTTCTGATCTTACCCAAGAAACAAGCAAAGGACTTTTTATTACAATTCAGTGTTCCATTTTTGCTGATATATTTTGCTTTAAAAAATATGCAATAAAGTTTTGTGTCTTTTATTTTTTTTTTAATTTTTTTTTGAACTTTCTGATCAGGGTATGAAATTGTTAAAAAATAAAAGCATTATCATTAGATTCACAGCATCATTTTCCATTGAGGAACAAGGAAGTCAAATGTAAAAATGTTCTGGTTGATTTAGGCAATTTTTACATTTTAAAATATAATTGTTTTTATAATAACATGAATATTTACTAATGATGATCCAAACAGTGGAACATAAATAGATTACTGAAAATGCTTTTAGCAAACAAGCAATTCCAACCTCTATAATTACTGTGAGAGAATAGTAGTTGATGATCTCTGCTACACAATAGCTTCAAAATTACACATTTATTATGGGTTATTACGGAACAATGTTTACTGTTTTCCAGCTTCACTTGAAAAAACATTATCTTCATTCTACAGTTTTGTAGTGATAATATGAAATTCCACCAGTTTCCACTGATTCCTTGCTGATTTTATTCTCTTAACAGTAGACAGTAGGATAGTACTACTGAAGAAGAGTGGGACCATACCATTTCCAGCAACAGAGCTTCTCATAATATTTCTGTGGACAACGTTTGCTTATGTTTCATTTATATGGAAATTTACATATGTTGGCTTCTGTCAGTACAGAACATCTTATTTTACTAGTACAAATAAGTCTTTTTTCACAAAATACTTTTTAAAGTTATATGAAGTTCACCTCATAGCAATTCTCCAGGGACATTTTCCATTTGTTCTTCTGAACTATTCGTATAATTTTCATTGAATATTTGGCCATTAAGATAAAGACATAACATTTGATACTAACGAACCAAAAAAGACAGGAAATGGTAGAAAAAATGAAAATCCCATCAAAAAGTTATCGTATCCCCATCAAAAAGTTATTGTGAACCTCAGAAACATTAGAAAATATGAGCCTTTCTTTGTTCAGTTCTTTAGAGCAACCCAGCTTACAGTTAAGAATACAGGCTTCACGTTACAGATGAAGCTTCATTAAAACTTTTTTTTTTTTTGTTAGGATTGACTTGGCTTCTTTTTCACTTGCTTTGTGGGTAACCCTGCAAAAATGGTTCACCGGTTCACCTCCTTCTCTGCAAAACCTGAAGATTTATACTTAACACTTCTGCACAAAATTTTGAAATATATGGTTAAAAAGCATACCAAATGGCATATGAATATAAAAATACTTTGATATAGATAAAAATATAAAACTTAATTTTACTGTACATTGAACTGACCTCCTTCAGCTGAGCAGATGACAACAATAGGGCTGAAGGGACCATCTCCTTTGTTATTGTAAACACCAACTTTCACCTCAAAAGGAGTCAGAGGCGGCACACTTTCATCTCTATAGATGAACTTCGAGGCATCTGAAGATGTCACCATTTTTTCCTTCCAACCACGTGTTCCATTGGGTCTGAAGGCTACAATATATCCAAATCCTTCTCCATTCTGAAACTCTTCTGATACTGGCTGAAAAATAAAGTTCCAATAATAGTCAGATGTGGTTTTACTAATTTAGAAAGCAATCACTCAGTGAATGAGTGTCAGGGTGGTAACTTACAGTTGCATTATAGGATTTTACTTATCATGCCTGAGAACACATAGGGACAGTTGCTTCTGAGAAGGAACATTTTAAGAGAGTTTCTTCACCTAATGGCCATAGTTAGGTCATTGTCCCAGGACTGAATATGTTCTTTAGGCTCAAAAAGATGCTTCTTCTATACTTCTCACTTTCTGCTTAATGTTTGAACCATTGATATGTTAATGGAAACATTCCTTCAGTTGGGCTTTTAAAAAGTATAGAGCAACATATTGTTAAGGACTCCTAAAATATGATGTGAATTACTACAATGGGACTTTCTTGTTTTTTAAGTTGCCAGCCTGTTTAATTTCTGTATCCAAATGGGGTGTCGAGTGCTAGTGATTTAATTCTGGGGTTCAATTTGAGAGTTAGATTATGATGCAATAAATTTAGTTAGAATAACTCTCAAACTAAAAGTTTTGAAAAAAAAAATCTCATTTACTTTTCCCATCTCAGAGGATCTGTGAAATTAGCCACTTAAATTGGGACACATCTGCCATAAGCAGGAAGACAGCAAAGGGATTTATGTACTGAGAGGCTGAGCACTGCAAAAAGCTAAATTTTAAATGTCCAGCTCAAGGAGTGGAATTTTTCATGCTAATTTACTGCCTGTATTTGTTATAATGTCAATGGACTTGGTTAGGCATTAGGTTATGTTTAACAGCTGTCAGCATATTAAGCCTGTGGGAAATGAGAAAAAAAAAGTGACTAAACTCCATCTCTTGAAGTGCCCATCTTAGATTTTCAGCTAATGAACATGTGAATCAGAGCAGAGACACGGGGAACACAGAGTCCTCTTCCCTCCACATTGTAAATGAAAGTCTCATCACCAGGCACCTCACTTGCAGAGGCTATTTTCTACCCAGCTTTCTGAAGCTGTGCACTGCTCATCAAAAGGAATAAATAAATAAATAAATAAATAAATAAATGTATCCTAAAGTAGTGGAGGCAAAAACAAGACAGCCTTTCTAAGTGGTTTCAGTTGGAAAGGAAGAGCTTTAGATCTCTGCAATATTTCTGGGTATGGCAGTAGATAGTCACTAATCATGGTTTATGATTCACACAGATGAAAAGCCATTTTATTATCTTAATAAGATTAATGACTATGCGGTTTACAAGGTATGTGAAACAGTGTGCTGGAAGTATCAGATTTAGGAAGAACAGCACTAAGAGTTGATGGAAACAATGAGTTCATCAGAAATATTCGGGAAGAATTGACACCTTCTGCCTTATTGGTAATTTGCATCCTTAAGCTATAAAAGAATGTCACAAATACATCAAATATATATATATATATATATATACACACATACACATACACATACATATATATATATTTATATATTTCAAAAAATATCAAAGTTTACTGAAAGTTATGTTATGACATTTGCTAATTCTTAGATATCTGTACTACAGAATATCGTGAATGCATCTCAGGTTTCTTTTGGAAGACTTTGGCCTTTGACAGAGAGGGGAGATACGACACAATCCTGTCGTGCCCAACTCTTAGGAAACACCATAAACACACTTAATATGAGTACTACATACTAATATATCATATTAGGGACTGGAATTAGGCTAGTTTATATCAGATACAGTTTTAGACACCTGAGATTATAATTTGGGATTCTGTGAGTTCTCTCCAAGTTGGAGAAATACTTCTGCTAACAGTCCTAAAATTATAAACAATATGAAAAAAAAGCAGGCTCAGGTAGCAGATGTTGGGGAATACAGAGGCACCATGAGAGGACATCCTCTTCACATGTCTCCAGATTTGTTACTTTAAGAAGATAGCCAGAATTCTGTGTGTCTTACTGTATGAATCACTCCTAAAGGTGGCTAAAACTTCCTTTCATTAAAACTCCCTATCTTTATTTGATGTATATATATATATATATATGCATATATAGATATATATACACACATACATACATATGTATTTAATCAAGGCTGAAACTCTTCATGATGAATCTAAAAGTTTTGAAAACTCCTCAAGAAAGCTTCTGCTCTACTATGTTATTTATTATTAGAAGAGAAAACAACTCTCACTTCTCCAGTTTCCCATTGCATTGGTGATACATATGTATTGCATCTTGTATCACAAATATCTTCTCAAAGTAAAGGTTTATTTTAGTTCTTCAGTATTTTATTTTTATGAAATATTTCAAAATTTATTCTTTCTTAATTTAAATTTAAATATAATTTAAATTTATATTTAAATATAAATATACTTTACATTTGAATTTAAATATAGTTGTAAAGGTTTCCTCTGGAAGAGGAAATTAGCTATTATTTTATCTGTGTAGCATTCACTTAAGATCCAAGAATGTCGGGACAACGTAAGCGATAGATCTGGAAAAAAAGACTGATGAATTAGGAGAGCCTTGGAGCTGCCACTAAGCAGGGCAGATTTACCACAGTGCCCTCAAGCTATGTGAAAATGCACATCAATTTGAAACTTTAAAACATATTTAAAGAACACTATTTTGTATTCACGTCTTTCCAATATTTGCTGTGATGAAACCCCAGTACAGTGCTGTTTACTTTGCCCACAAAGAAGTCAACATGAAACAAGACTTTTAATCAGAAAAGTCCCTTACCTCCCATGCTATTACTAATTCATGTCGTCTTCCACTTCTGCCACTTACATTAGCTGGAGGTGTCTTTGGAACTGTGAGCAAAAAGGAAAAAAAAAAAAAATAAAATCAGAGAGCCCAAGTTATTGAAGTTTTCCCTGTAGTAATAAGCTGCTGCAGAAGACATGAGGCAGCATGTTAAATCAGAACAGAAATAACAAACATAGCACACATACATAGTAAAGAAATTTTTCTCCAGTTTCATTTCAAAGGATTCCATAGTCGTGTGATTGTAACTCAAAGAAAGCATAAACTGAGAAGAAAACTGATATTGAAATAAAAAGTTACTTAAACATTATTTCTTCTGCAGCTTAGTCAAAATTTCAGTGTATATATCATCTGAGAGATAAAACAGGAATTATTAACAATTGTACTTTTTCAAAAAAACAATTCAAAAATGAAATGCCAGGGAACCGGATATTTTCCAGACTTCAGGTAAAATTTTAGGAATTAATTTCAACATTTTCCCAGGTCATTAGTGATTTAGAATATTTTGATTCTTTTAAATATATTCTGGTATGCATTACCAATTTTCAGAGACTTTAAGTTTACCATCCTTAAACAGCCCTTATTATTTCTTGTAAAATATTGGAAACAGTACTACCTTCAGGTCTTTAAAAACTGAAGCCATCTATCATCATCTGCAAGACTTCATAAATCTTAGTTGTACCATTAGAATTGTATACTGTCTTTTCTCTTATTTAGTACACCTAATGGAGCTCCAAAAATGACTAGTGCCTTGAGTTTATTAACTGTGAGCATGTAGTACTTACATTTTTATTTTTTTTTAATTAAATATGTTCTAAGATATAAACTTCCTATTTTCTTCCTTACAGCAGTACATAGATCATTGGTAGAAATGTACTGTGAGGCATTTAACTGTTAAGGCCTTATTGCATGCTATTGAACTCATCTATTGAGTAGCAGTGTCCCTCTGACCTATACAAAGAAAAATACATTTAAATGAATGTACACAGACCTCTCTATTTCCCATGTTGATCATTAACAGCTTAAGTTCAATGAAAGTGCAGTTGTTACTAGATCCTGGGAGTTCACATAAAACTTCAGAATTAATCTATATAGTGTCTTTTTGAACTCTGATCTCCCTTTTAAAGAACATTATCTTAGTTCTGTTTTGTTTTGTTTTGTTTTCTCTTCATAACTAATGCAATCCCATAATGTTTATGAATTGCTTCTGATTTCCACTGTTGAAAATGTGGTAAGAGTGAGAAATTAGTTATGCATACATTTCTAAAATTAAATTTTTTGCCCTGTTAATTGTGGCTCTAACCAGAGCAATAGGGGAAATTTCTAATTTGTGAAAATTTCTCCCATAAAGATGCATTCATTTGGCAAACATAGTATCTGTCATTTTTCTTCCTTCCTTTATTCTTTGCAGAAAAATATTAACTTGCATATAATAATTAATATAATGATCTAATTGCCTTGCGGTTAAACTTTAGCTATTGGTAAACAAGCTATCCAGTCTAAGGATGTAGTCTAGGGTCAATCTCCATCCTATTTTAAGATAGCTGCCTAAGCATGGGAAGGATATATCTCATTCTACGGACTGGAGCTATGAACAAAGTTAAATTAAAACCTGGTCTTTAGAAGGTGAAATTTTAATAAAATGTCCCAATCAGAAACAGAATTTTACTGTATTGAATTGTGAGGAATTGCCTCTGGCAAAAGAACAAAAACTGTGCTATACTGGGACGAATGTTCTACAGAGAAGATGTGGTTAAACAACATTTGTCAGTTAACTAACATGCAAAAACTACTATCATGCCATCTCTGATGGAGCACATTTAAAGCAAGTTCAGCACCCATTTTTTTTTGCCTTTCTAAGATTTTTTTTTTTGTTAAGTTATAAAGTTGTACTGTTTATGTAAATTATTGATGGGAGACAATGCCATCTTCCTTTGAAGTGACAAATGTGATGGTCTTATTTAACCAGCAGTGCCCTCTTTCTAGAATTTTCCAGTTAATAAGTTTGCAGACCGAAGCCCTATTCAAATGAATAAGCGTTAAAAGAGTAAAACCGTCAAAATGATGAATTTCTTTTGCACCAAACTAAAATGTACATTCACACAGAAAAACTCTCTAAAATGAATAACCATTAAAAGAATAAATGTGTCAAAGGAATAAATTTCCCTGCACTACACTAAAGCAAATTATTTACTGTTAGAGGAGAACATTTTAAAATGAGTTAAGTGACGAAAACTATTAAAAGAAAACATTTTTGTCAGGCCTTGAGGTTATATATTATAAACCATTTCAGCAACATCACTTTTATATCAGTTTTATATCTGAATTTTCTTACTCATAACTTGTTTATTGCCATGCAATTAGTGACTTCAAGTTGTTAATTTTCAGCAATGACACACATGGCACACATGGAGAAACACTTGTTCCAAAAATGCAAATGATACCAGAACTTGGTTCCCAGACACAGGGTCTGTATTCCTAGGGGACAATGAGATAATGATATGTTTTCTTAATTCCTATCAAGGGTGAGAAATTTAGCATTGTGTCTTCTGAATAAATAAAACCCCAAGTAGCAGCACGGATCTCTTTGCTGTGCTAATTCATTTCATTTAATAAGATGAAAGAATTCCATCTATGGGGAAATGAATCACTTCTTGGCTTAACACTGGTCCTTTAGATCATCAAATATTATCATGCTTTGCTTGATTGTATGTCTTTAATTCTGCTCAAACTGTTCTCTTTAACCCCTTTGTTGACTACTTAGTATTGCTCATCTCCCATTTCAGTCTTAGACTGTAAGCTCCTTGGGATCAGATCAACTGTTATTTTCTTTTGGTTCTTCAGCTAATGGTAGGCTTGAAAGCTAATAGTTGGGTCTCTGCATTGTCCTGGTGATGCAATCAACAAAAAATACTAAAATCAATGTTCTGAAAGTTTGGCAGACAGGGACTAAATGTTGTGCACAGTAAATGTGGGTCACAGTGGTTATATGCTGGCACATTTTGACATTTAAACCTTCACTTAAGTTACGCAAACAAAATTCTGGAAATGGCCAAAATGATTATTACCAACTTGATTTAAACTTAAACAGTAATCTCTTCAGAGATTTTATTTCCTCACTTTGGGGCAAAATATTGAAAATGATTAAATATTTGGTGAAATATTTCAATTTTTATTTTAAAATGTATAATTTGATATTTGCTTCATTTTTATAAAAAAAAATGGAAAAATGAAAACTGTAAACAGAAATTAGAATATGTTGCCAAATTGTCAGATTTTTTTTTTTTCTTTTCATAAATTATGGTTTTATTTCCAATTTTCTAAGGGATGCCAGGAAATTTTTGAATTTATTTAAAATCAGGTTTCTTCTTCTCCTGTTTTTACTTAAGTGGGTGAATCTTTTTCACTTCTTGAACTATAGGTTCCTTTCCTTGTAAAAAAGAAAATAAAGTGTCACATTGAACCTGGAAAAGCTGAAACTGCTTGAAAAACAGTTCATCCACTTTTTCACATTCCAGTCCTGCAAAGATTTTTTTGTAATGTTGTTCCTGAATGAATAATTAATCATTTTAAAATTGTTCCTTTCTTTGTTAGCTTATTTTTCAAGGAAATGTTGAGTGGCTTTTTTTCAATTTTGTGTGTTTCAATTTTGTGGTTAGCATAAACAGAAATGACAGATTTTTAATTTTGTGGTGTATTTTAATTTTGTGTAGAACAAAAGTATTTGGCAGCCAAGATTATAATTGATTATAGTATTGTTGTAGAAACATGTAACTAGATTTAGCCCCTATCACTCACTAGGGACTGTGAAATCTGAATAGGTGAGATAGAGGGAAGACTAAGAGACGCAAGAACCTCACAATCCTCCTATTAGTCAGAGTAAGAAGTGCTTAACATGAGCTGCCTAAACTGACAGAGAAGGTTCTGATAAACAACTGACACCAGATTTTCCAAATACCAGCTCTATGTTGTCTTCAAAATCAAAAAAAGTTTTTTTTTTTTTTTTTTTAAATTCTGTTTGGATTCTATATCAATAAAGATATTTTCTACATGGATTTTTTTTTTTTTAATTTTATTTTTTTTTGTATAAATTCTGAAATAAAGAAAAAACAAAACAAAACAAACAACAACAAAAACAAACAAACAAACAAACAACAACAACAAAAAAACACAACCTGCTACACTATCTGGGAAGATGAGTTATTAAACTTGGCTTTAGTCCCTAAGAAAATATTTGCTCAAGATGTAGGTACTATTTATTTATTTCAAAGCTGCTTATATCTTTTAAAAAACAGATATAGTTTGAAAGACAAGTAGTAGCTGTGGAAAAGTTATGGTAGGGATAAAAAAGGTTTGTCAGCAGCATGACAGAACTTCATAATGTGAAAACCAGTGCAACAACACATTCAAAGTTTTTTTTTTTTTAAGTTATTTTCCTTTATATAAATATATATGTGTGTAAGTGTGTACTGCAGTACACACTTGGGAAACAGAGATGTTAAGTGAAAACCTTTGCTGCATATTAAAGGCTAGCCCTCAAGTTCTCACACTCCCAGGGAAACATCTCTTCTGTTCAGGACTGAGACGTAAAATGCTCCAGCATCTCTGAAGCAGATGATGAACTGCATTCAGCTATTGGAAATGCCCCAACTGGTCTCATAATCTGCATTTCTGCTATTCTCATTTTCTTCTGTATTTTTAACATCTGTAATTTAGTAGAAGATAGGATTCAGTTCTATCCACTGAAAACAGTGTCATACATGTCTGCAGGATTCACCCTGAATAGTCTCCAGATTGCTACACAGGGTCTGAAATCTCAAATGCTGTAACATACATGCCAAAGAACCAAATCCTTAGTTTTCCTGACATGTTTTCTAATAATACATATATTTGGACTCTTTGTCAATATAATGCATATGTGTTTGGGCCTGCAATATTACATGTAGCCTATTGATTTCAAATATATCCATGCAGTCAATGATTATTGCCTACTTTATCTTCTCCTTTAGTTTTTCCCTGTGGAGACATTTTCTGCAAAGGTTTCAGTTGCCCATCTAATGATACAAACAGACCAGGCAATTCATTTTTCTCTAGAACCAAAAATAGTTATGATAATGGGAAAAAATGAAACTTATTTTGTACAGGTCTCAAATATAAAAAAACACCACCAGCAAAAGAAACCCCCTGGAACAAACCCAGTATAAAACATATTATTGCCAGGACACAGTTTTTTCCTGGTATACCATGAAGAAATATTAACTGAGAGTAAGCGTGACCTAATGAAAGATAAGGACTTATTAAAAATCAATCCTATGTACAATCTGCTACCAATTGAGTGCATTATATTTTTACCTCATAAAATCAAGTTTTCATGCCTGATTAGCAGGTTAAATTTTGATTCTACTCAATTTCTCTCTCCCCATGTTTCCCCATGAATAGATAATGTAATTGATGCTTTGCCCCAGGCTTCAAATGCCCAACTGCTGTAGTGGAATGCCAGACATGTCTGAATTCATGTTATTGGCTCCTTTCACCTTGTGGACCTGTAAAATATGTATCAAGGCTAGAAGTGACAGAAATGCAGCAGCTGGCTATAAGTTAGATGTGCCAGAAAATTGCAGAATTATCCATTCCAATGAAAGAAGCTATGAAAATCAACCATGTTAACTAAATATAAACTAAGTAACAAGATTAAGGTTTAATTAGAAAATTAAAGCAAGTGGAAACTTGTTTATTATTCTGTTGATTTCCTTACACCACCCCAAGCATTGCTTCCATGGGTATTTTTACATAATGTACTTGTGTAAAATGCTGTTACTATCTAGGGGAAGAAGTGGTAAAATAAGTGAGGTGTGGGGAGAGAAAAAGATTTTAGTCTCCAGCCAAATTAGCTGATGCCATTAAATTACAGATGCTGATTTCCATTTAAGTATAAAATAATAGCAGCAGAATCACACATTTGCTACCTCTGTGGGTTGTCTACACAGCTATTATTCAGCCTTGTGGATCACGACTGTCCTCTGAGTGCAAGCCTCAGTCATCGTCTCCTTTGGGAGACTGGATTCCTGTATTTTTTTTTATTTTTTTCCAGTGCAGTTTGTTTTCCAGTGCATTTTTACTTGTAGGGCACGTCTAATATCATTGCAAAGAGCCACCTTACTCTGCTAGGTCATGAGAAGAGAGGTTGATGACATGTTCTTGCTAAAGTATGATGTCCTTCCACATGCACTTCTAATTAGAATTCAGATCTATGATATTAGAACTGGAGCAGTTAGCAGAGGTTTCTGGTTTAAAGCAGAGACTATTTTGTTATTGTTTTTACTTTACAACCCTTTGAAGGTTCCAACAAATTGGAAAGTTATATCTTATTGTTTTTTATTGTAAATACTGTCTTCTCACTGCCTCTATAGAATAAAACAAGAAAACAGTTAAATCTGTCTCTTATATAGGTAATAACAAAACAAACAAAAACAAACAAACAAACAAACAAACAAACAAAACCAAAGCCATTCACAACTAAAAGAGAAACCAAAGGGTTTCACTGAAGAAAGTTATTTTGAAATTGAGGTGATGACAACTAACTTCTGCTGTACCACACTGTGCTAAACAGGCACACCAATAAATTCAACTTCAATTTCTCTGAAGGCTGTTAAGTTATTTTACTAGCACCTGTCTGGAATTCAATGTCACACTACCAAATGCTCCCTTCTAACATGACACTTATGCCACTGTAACTCTGGTAACAAAATTGTGTTTCTAACTGGAAAGCTGAAAGTGCAGGTAAACACTGAGTGTGGTCTTTTCCTATTTGAACTAATATGTTCAAAAATCTTGATTTTCAATTCAAAAACTGCATTATTATTGTCTATTGCTGTTTCTCAGGAAGAGTCCCATGTAAGTGATTATATATATATATACATATATATAGGCACTCAGATTAAATACGTCTGGTGGATTAAAATCAAACTCAAGGAGCGTGTTCATAAATCTGCAAGAACAAAATACCAGGAGTGCAACCTACTACAGGATAAACTTTTTCCAGAATGTCTATGTCCTTTCTGATATACACCACCTGAACAAACAGAGAAGTCATTTAAACATTTAGGTTCAGTAATATTCTTGGCCAATGCTGCATATAGTTCTAAATCATGGAAACAATAGTGGTGGGGGAATATATGTATATATTTTAATCATTTGACATGAACATGTGTTATTATTATTATTTAATATCATTTTCTCTTTCTTCCTTTTCTCCTCACAAAATATGCAGAATCTGAAACTTCTGTGATACACTGAGGGCAACTTGCAGAAGACTGGGGGGGAATTGGAAAAGTAGCATCCTTCAATATGGGAACCAGATGACTTCGGTGCAGTTTTGTCATTGCATCTATATTACCAGCCAACAGCTACGCAGTTGTTTAAAGAAGAAAAAATAAATATGTCTTATTAAAACAGATCTATCTTGAGATTTAATAAGACATATTTATTTTTTCTTCTTTAAACAACTGCTTGGTTGTTGTTACTTGGTAACTGCATCCAATTTTGGATGCCAGAGAATGAGAAAGACATTGATCAGCTAGGGAGAGTTTAAGGGTGGGACTGAGATTGTGAAGGCTGTAGCTCTTGCCCTTTGAGGAGAGGCAGGAGGAGCAGGGCTTGGTCAGCCTGGAGCAGAGACAGCTTCAGGGGTTGAACAGCAGCCCCAACGCCTACAATGAAGGTCAATGTGCTGGAAATGATGCTAGGATTTCCACAATGGTACAGGGAGGGAAGGAAAGAGGCAGCAGTAATAAGCTGAAATAGGGTCAGTTCTGACTGAATGTATTTAAAAAAAAAATAAAAAATCCTAATTAGAGTAATGAAGCACTTGCACAAAGATGTGCAGTCTCCATCCTTGGAAGTTTCGAAGTTTTAAAGACCAGGAAAAGGTCTGAGCAACCTGGTCTGAAGTCTGTTTTTCCAGCTTTGAACAGGAAGATGGAGCAAGGGTACCCTCAGTTCCCTTCCAGCCTCAACTATTTTGTTGATTCTGTGGTTCCAAGAAATCAGCCTGAATAGTTCACTGTGAATGTTTTTGGGTGGTTATACATAGATGTATGAACTAGGGAGCGGAGGCAACAAGATTAATATATCTTAAAAGAAAAGGATTTTTATTTCAGAATAAGAGACATAAATATATTGTGGCATTGCCACTTTTAGTTTTTATGATCTCTCTTAATGAGAAGACAGAAGATGGGACAATGCAACTGACATTCATCTGGCGTGTTTACAACAATAAAATCTTATGCTTTCAGTTTAAGTGGAATCTTTGAATTTGGCACTCATCTATTCTGTATGATTAATAAGCTACTTTCAAATTATTCAGCTGAGGAAAAATCAAAACAAAATCAAACTTCTCTAGGCCTCCTAAATAATAGAGGCATGCAACTAGCAATGGAGAATAGTATGAGAGTGTCCTGAGGTGGATATCTGTTCTGAGGCTTTGTTCAAACCCTGACTCTGTCTCTTTCTCTTTCTGCCTCCTGAAATGTGTTTCTCTGTCTTCATAGTGATTTTTGTCAGATTCCCAGTCTTCAAGCACCACTTGTTTGCTCCCTTCATTCTGCCTAAGTTGCTGTCAGTGATTTCAAACTTTCAGAGACCATTGCAGTTTTCAAGAGATGCAAACTGCATATACAATATTCTTCTCTGGACTCCCACAATATCATCCCAGTCAGAAATTTAATTACATTTCTTCAAATGCACTAACAATTCATGGTAGAATATGCATGATCATGAAACATGTCGAGTATGTGGTAAATAAAGCAGCTTCCCATGGATTTTCTACCTGCTGAAAAAAAAAGGTTTCAGTGTACCTTTAAGGGGAGAAGTTATGAGGAGTAGGGGGGAAGAGGCTGCCTGGGAGCGGTTGTGTGAAGGGACTGGGAAGTAGCCTGCAACTGAAGATCAGTGGAAGCCCATGAGAGACTAAGCAGCAAAAGCTTAAGAGTAAGTTGCAGAGTAAGATAGCCTGGAAGAAGTAAGACATCAGGGAATAGGGTTATTTGGAATTTCTGCAAAATAATACTCCTCTAAATAAAACAAACTGTTCTCCATTACAAAGAATATCACCTTTGCACAATTTTAACTCAGCCCAGAGATGTGTGCTAGTGAGAAGAGAACAGCACTATTATTACATTAAAATAAATCTTGTTGCTGGTAGCCTTTGAAAATTTACCTTTGTATACTCTGCTTACCTGCTTCATTGGTTCTGATCAGGCGGGATGGTGCACTTGGATCTCCAGTCCCAATTTTGTTGGTTGCTACAACTCTAAATTCATACTCCACCCAAGGATTAAGTTCAACAGCCATAGCAGATTCCATGTCTCCACTTATCACATCAGGAACTGCAGACAGTAAAGAAATAGGCTGCTCAGAAACATGAGGCTCACATGAAGTGTTTCAGTAGGAAGTGTTTATTTTTATTATTATTTTTATTTAAAATATATATTAAAATATGCATATCAATATATTATAATTATATAATTATATAATATATAATTACATATTATGATTATATAGTTATAATATGTAATATATTTCATATATATTTAATACATAATATGTATTATATTTTATAATTAAATATAAAAATAATTGAATCATCAAATATAATCACAGAATCACAGAATTTCTAGGTTGGAAGAGACCTCAAGATCATCGAGTCCAACCTCTGACCTAACACTAACAGTCCCCACTAAACCATATCAATAAGCACTACATCTAAACGTCTTTTAAAGACTTCCAGGGATGGTGACTCCACCACTTCCCTGGGCAGCCCGTTCCAATGTCTAACAACCCTTTCGGTAAAGAAGTTCTTCCTAAGGTCCAACCTAAAACTCCTCTGGTGCAACTTAAGCCCATTCCCCCTCGTCCTGTCACCAGGCACGTGGGAGAACAGACCAACCCCCACCTCACCACAGCCTCCTTTAAGGTACCTGTAGAGAGCAATAAGGTCACCCCTGAGCCTCCTTTTCTCCAGGCTGAACAAGCCCAGCTCCCTCAGCTGCTCCTCGTAGGACTTGTTCTCCAGGCCCCTCACCAGCTTATATATATATATATATATATATATATATATATATATACACACACACACATATATATATGTGTGTATATATATTTAATATATTTAATATATTATAATATATATTAATATAAAATACATATTCATATATATGGACTTTAGAAATGAAAGATATTGCGGGTTTGGGTTTGTCAGAAATCACACTTAGATTTTTGACACTGTGGTACTCCCCAAAAGACAAAAATTGAAGGGTATTGGGAAGAGCTTTCTGCTTGTTCACAGATGCATCATGCAAGTATCTTTGTGCTGTCCTTTCAGATATGTTGCTAAGTAACATGACAGGAAAAAAAATAATAAAGTCAGTTCTTTTAATTAGTCATTGTTCTCTTCAGGGTATCTGTTCCTGCAGATGCTGCTGATTATTATTGCCATGTGGCAGGAGTTTTGAACAGCCTACTATTACTATTTTAAAGTTTTTCTCACCTGTTTTTACTGTCTGCCAGCCAAGAGAAAATGGACTGCGTGCTTGCAAGTTGTAGAGGGAGATCGGGCTGTGATTGTCTGCTCCAGGGCTCCAGGAGAGTGTTGCTGTGTTGTCTGTAATTTCCTCCACTATTACAACCCCTGGGGGACCAGGAGGACCTAGAGTAAAGTGGAATAATCAAACAGAACACACCATCATTGCAACTGAACGGTAATAATACAGGAGACATATTCTGTAGGGAGTTCATGAAATGCAAGGGTTAAAATGCATACTACTACAACGCGGTGATAGCTTATTTTCAAAATTTCTACTGTCAAATTGTGATATTGTTTCTACTTTTTAAATGTTGTGCAGGTGAGAAGCAATTTACTTATCAAAGTGACAGAAGGAGAACTAGAAATAGCAGATTTCTAAAATAATCCTCATTTATAATTATTCTGATTCTAAAATTAAAGGAAAAACAAAACCAAACAAAACAAACAAACAAAAAACAATCTTTAAGTAGCATCCATGCTAGATTGAACACTCACAGTAACATCTCTTTGTGAGAAATGTCATCAGGAGAGACAAATCATGATCAAGATGAAGCAAGGTCAGATATGTTTCTTGAGGAGAAAATAATATTGCTATTAACTGATTTCTAAGAATATGTCATGCATCCTGTTCTCGGATTCACTCATTCAAGGAAACACCCTTCTAAGTCCAGAGCCACATATTCTTAAGGTTGATATTTACTATGATTCTATTGAAAACAAACAAAAAAACCCTCCAACAATTTCTCAATTTGAGAAATTAGAGGATTATTTTTTCCACTTAACTATGCCAAATGAGAAAATGTTAATTGTCAGTTGTGTAAGCCATGTGATTACTCCAATAAGTAAGTTATCTGGTAACAAACATGACTTTGGAACGAAAAATATGCCTATAATTTCTATCTACCCCGCATTTTCTTCTTTAATTTTTCCTGGTATTGGTACTACTGATGTTTGAAAACATTGTATGTATGCATTTGCTAAACTAAATTGGAGGCAAGGTTCCCCCAAATCAGAATCCTTTTCCAGCTGCTGTAAACAGATGTTTAAGGGAAAGAGCACATTTCTGTCATGGTTCAATGCAGAATTAAAAATCTTTCGTGTGGTTCCTTATATTTTAAAGCTTAAAAAAGTTCAGAGGTACAGGACTTAATACTTTTTAATACTACTTAATTAAAATATTAATATAATCAATAACTCTAATTAATTATGAGAAAATGTGGATATTTTTGGCATCCAATTCTTTCCCATTTTTCAGTTTTTGGAGGCTGAAGTTCTGCTTCTGCTCATGTACAGATGGAGGCCTTTGAAATCAGAAATGCACTGGCCATTTTCTTCCAAAATGAAACTGCAGGAAAGGTGATGATGTAAACAACTTTTTTTAAAAAAAACATTTATTTATTTATTTATTTATTTTCCGTTCATTAGAAAGCAATGCTGGATACACTTCTGTGAGAGCCTGAAGCACTTTGCATGTATCAGACTTTTCCCTAGAGTTACAGTGGAATGGATCTGCTAGACACCTCCACTCTTGTCCATCCTAACAGTGAGCCATTATGAGAGGCATGGTCCTACTAGAGTTCAGCAGCTGCAAATAAGAGAGAAAATACTCAGGTCTGGTTCCACCATTTGGTGTTGTGGTTGTAGCCATTACATGTAGTACATTAGTGAATATAGTACATTACTGAACTCAGTTATTTTTTATTTGTTTGTTTGTTGTCTGTGTATGTGTGCACTATTTCATACAACCAAATCTTTAAATATTTTGCTGGCTAGAAACTTAGTCCATAAGTAAAAAAAAATTTGTATGAATATGAAAAGCTAAAAAAACCCCTATTAATTGAAAAGGTTTCCTTCTCCCCCCGTCATAGTTTGCAGCTGCAAACAATTTTCCACAGGTATTCCTTCAACAAAAGTGTGTTTACATGAACTATGACAACAATGCATTCAGAATTTTCTAGTAGTTCAACTCAGTATTCTCAGAGAGGAAGAGACATTGATTCCTTTAAATAACAAAGCAAACTACACTATTCACTTTCCTCTGTTTGTCTGATAATGATCTACTAGTGACTAATTGACACCAAAATATTGGAAAGCTATAGCATTTACAGGAATAAAGGCAACAAAATAGAAAATATAATTGTCTTTTTAAAATGTATGTATAGAATTCAGTAAAGTTTAGTGTTACAGATGTATGAGAGATCAAGACTTTCTGAAATACATGTTCAAAGGAGCCCTGGATACTGCAGTGGGCTATGGGAAAAGAAGAGGCTTTCCACCCTGAATGGTGGTGAGCAGCTTTTGTGGCTCATAGTGCCAGGAGTCTTTCCTCTTCCCTTGCCCTTCTTGCTCAGAAGTCCTGACATTACTGCTGCTAGTGCCTTTCATCTCCTGTGCGGGATAACATGGCACCACCCCTTGGACCCCTTGTGACTCGGGCTTCTGGAGTACCTCATTTGTAGCTGAAAGGTCTTGATTTTCTTCCTGGGAGAAAGCAGGGCAGAAAACTGTGTCCTGTGCACACCTCCTTTTCTACCACGTATTTGCTGTTCTTTGGTGGAAAGCACCAGGTAAGACCTTTGTCTCGGAATAGTAACTCCTGGGGCTAATTTAATAAAACAGGGTGGTCTTCAATCTTCATCATCTACTGTTTCAGGCTATCTGTTGATGTAGGAAAATATTAGTGAAATTTTTATTTGTAGCCATGAGGGAAAGTTTAAAGGAAAGCTTGGATCCTGATGCAATCATATTCTTTTAGTGATTTGGAGCCCTAGGCCCAGAATTATATCATGGTTCTAAGCACAAACAAAATTAAGGGAAAATATTTTAGTGCTTTTCCTCTACGACAATATTTCTTCCATGCTCAATGAATATTGTTAAAGAGTTTCTAGCCACTGCATTATAGGAAAAAGAACAAGATTCTTGTGTATATAAAAATATCTAAAATATATTTATGCAGATGTCTCCTGCTAAATTCTCAATATATTTTGTTGTAGGAGTTCTCTCATGGTTTTTAAAACCTTTTAAACACATTCCTAGTCGTGATAACGTGTCATTATGCTTTCTGAGATGTGTGCTCTTACACAGTCTGTGGGATGACTGCTAAAAAGCATTTCCATTTCCAACAGCAGGCATCCTTGAAAGCGGATTAATAAGGGACAAAAGCCTCTGTGATGACAAATCTGTGACAGTTAGCCAGGACCTGAGTGCTATGCAGATGTCACTCATTTTTGTAGAAATCTCATTAAATTTTATGCTTGGATGTAATCATTCATGGTGTCAGCTGGATGGCTAATGCAGAGAAGCATTTCTCCCAAGGGCTGTGCTATTGTTCAGGATCTCTAAAACAATTTTTTAGTTGGGAATAGTCAATTGAGGAAAAAATGCACAGTCTGCTCAAATGCTTCTCTGGAAACCACACAGAAAATGACTGGTCATAAATGCACTACAGTGCAGTTGACCTTCACAGAGAAGACATTTGAGGCTGTGATAGGCTCTTATGTAGCTCTAGAAACCTAGCACAGAGGTTGTTAATCAGTTATCTTCTTTCAGAGCAATTCCATAGATCAATGTTTCATTTCAAGACATGCATGAATGCATTTTGGCAAACTTGTTTTATGTGTCTTTTTATTGTTTGAATGATCATCCTGAGAGGTCCTTCAGATTACTTGCGATGATTCAATGTTAATGTGAGAGTTCTTGAAAGAATGTTACCAATAATAACCTCAGTCATTCAGTGAGACAGTGCCCTTTCCTGTGAATCCCAGGATGTGCACTGATTTACTCTACTGCAGTCTGACCAGGATAATCCTTACTTTTACCAAATCACTAAAAAGGCTGATACAGCCTGATTCTTCATGAATACATAATTCTTTACCTGAAGGCTTTGCCAGTACAATGTGTACTGGCTTGTCATAAAGAAGATCTTAAGTCAGAAAAAAAGAGGAACAGAAAGAGGTGGTAACTACAAGATAATGGAAAAGTTGTTTGAGGAAACTGGAGGCTGACTCTAACATGAAACCATTTTGCTGTGTCCACCTATGGCACCGCACATGTTGAGGAAGAACAAGATGGAGAGAAAGAGTGATATGTGGTGAATACTTTAGAGGATATGTCCTCATTCCCATCCCTACATGTGTGGTATACCCAAATGGTTTCTGTAAGACAGCTACATAAAGCCATGGGAGAATAGAGAGGTCACACTCTAACCAGACCAGTACAGAGAGGTCAGACTCAGCACTGGAAGGTAACAAAGAGAAGATGTTGATGTTCCAGCCTTGGTAGTCTTGACTCATTCCAGGGATGCATTTCTTTGCCCCATCCCTGGAAGTGTTTAAGGCCAGGAGGGATGGGGCTTTGAGCAACCTGTTCTAGTGGGAGGTATCATTGCCCATGGCACGGGTGTGCAACCAGATGATCTTTAATGTCCCTTCTAATCCGAGCTATTTTTTGATTCCATTATTCTATGTTTAAAGGTATGATACTCCACCTACCCTAGCATACTGTCTTCCTATACTGTAGATGTTTCAGCTACACTGATATACAGAAAAGGGCCAAAGCACAGACTTGAACTCTATCAATGATCCTATGTACTATTATACCATCAGCCATTCCCTATCATAATTTCAACCCTGTGCCAATCACACTTTTCCCATCCAAGGCCTGTGAACAGTTAACTGATTACCATGGGTTAGGATAGATCCCAATAGCCAGTTTGTTGTGTCCCTACTGTTTTGAAAGGGGAGGAGGACTTTATCTATGTGAATGGGAACTCCACTGTATCCATTGACCTCGGGAAGTGGTTTACTACTACTACAGACATATCTGTGAGTCCAATTAATGGGGTCTGTACCTAGGGCATTTCTGTGGCTCTTGTTACAGCTCAAATGTAAGTTCAAGGACCAGCAAAAACCTGCTAACCCTGTTTACGTTCCATTTAATAATATTGTGGCTGATGGCCTTTAAACCCAAATGCTTGTCTTTAAGTTTTATTGGTAATATCCACAACTGAAAGGAGCAATGTGATCAATCTAACCAGCAGTTCCTGTGTTATATTTGCTCCAGGTCAGTAGAGTTCAGAGGAAACATTGCTTCTCCAAAAATATATCATGAGAGTGGATTTCTTG